TATATAATAATATTGGGATTTTTTTATTTTCTTTACCTAATATTTTGGCAATGTCACTCATATAACATTTTCTCTCTCTCTTTTGAAGATTAAAGATTGCCATATCTTTTACCAAAGCTTTATTAAGATTATTTTATCACCTGATTTACTTAAAACTAATGTTGTTTAATCTCTATGTATCTGATTCCTTTCTCCTTCTGACTGCAAAAGCCAGTGATGTTTAAAGCCTGCACACAGAACAAATTCACACATACTGGGAGGACAGTAAATGAACTGAATGTTTGTTTGGGACAATTTCTGAGTCTCTCTCTTCTTCCCTTTCCTCACAGCTCTCATTTGAATGTTTCTGCCATCCACTTATTCATGCAGTGTTTACTGAGCAGACTCGCCAGGCACCATGATAGGTGGGTGGTGGAAAATCATGACTCTGACACTTGAATGGTGTTTTACAGTCTACCGATCGTTTCCACATAAATTAATTCACTCCTCGGAGGCGCTCACTTCATTGCATCCTAGTTCTTCCTCCCTTTTAACACTATATTTCCCTGAACCTTCTTCACTCTTTTGTCAAATCTTCGGTGTGCACAATATTCAGTAAGTGCATTGGGGGTGAGCTGAGCTGGGAAGCTGACTGGAAGGGAAGGTAGCAGGTGGTGGAGGAGAAACCAATCAGGGAGAATGCAGGTCCTGAGACCTTTCCTGTGCCCCACGCTTTAGGAGAAAAGTCAAAGCCCTGTCTCTTATTAAGAAAGTACAAAGAGATGACCACTAGTGTGTCCATCACTAGAAACTGATTGAGACTAGACACAGGGATAGTGGTTTCCCAAGCCCTCCCCCTCCTCCGATAATTAGCATATTTAACAAACTGAAGAAACTAAGGCATTGTTTTGTCCTGCTAAACAAACACTCAGGTACTCAAATCCTGGCATAAAGTTCCCAATTATATACGCTGTAGTTCCTCTTGAATTTCGTGACACTGATCAGTAGGCAAAAAATAGAACATACAACATTAACCAGAAAATTATTCCTTTAGTCTCTATCACCTGTTTCATTCACTATTCTGCTTCCCACACACACCCCAGACTTCTGTAAGGAAATACCACTGGCTTCCTGCAGTGAGCGAGCTTATGGGGGGGATGTTATGCCCGGTGGCTGAGAAGGAAGGGGGTATGCTGCTTGGGGCTAGGCATGCAGTATCACTCACATTTGAGCTTGTACTGAGCTCTTCAAGGGCACTTTGAAGATTCACAGGATACCAGCAGATGATACACTAAATAAACTTCCAGAGGAAGATGTGCCAAGCTCATTTCTACCCCAGATCCCCTTCACCTGTGCTTCGCTCTCTGCCGGGAATGCTCTTCCTCCAGAACTTCCCATGGCTCTCTCTTTCTCATTATTCTGCTCAATGTCACTTTCATGGAGAGGCCTTCCCAGCCAGTCTACCTATAAAGCAGTGTCCCCACACTCAGTCCCTCTATGTCATTTCACAATTTTATATGCTTCATTGCATCTCTCTCTACCCAAAGTGAACTTACTTATCTACATATTCATTATCTGTCTCCCTCACAAATCTCTAAGCTCCCAGAAGGCAGAGATTATTTTTTAACACAAAGCCTAGGACATAGTAATAGACCTGTAATAAATAATGGTGGAATGAATGAGTAACCAACAGATATCTCCCAGAAGCCTATTATACGCCAGTTCTGTGTAGACACGGGGGAGTACAGCTGTCCCCCCACCTACCCTGCCATCCATGGAGGGTGTGTTCCCAGACCTCCAATGGATGCCTGAAATCACACTCTACATACTCATATATTGCTTTTTCTTAGTACACATAGTAAAGTTTAATTTATAAATGAGGCACAGTAAGAGGTTAGCAACACTAACCGACAATAAAATGGAACAATGATAAGAACACACTGTGATGAAAGTTATGTGAATGTGGTCTCCCTCAAAAACATCTTATTCCACTCTACTCACCCTTCTTCTGATGGTGATGTGAGATGATGAAATGCCTCATCAAATGGAGAATTTTCACCTTTGCACTACGAGAAACAATGCTTTGTGGTTTCCCTTTGGCGTGTCCAGATTGCCCACAGGGCTCCTCTTACACTGTGGGGCCATTCCTAAGTAAAGTACGGGTTCCGTGAACACCAGCCCTGCGGTAGCTCCACAGCCTGGTGACTGAACTGGCTACTAAGTGACGAACAGGTGGGAGCGAACACCAAGGGAAGATTCTGGCTGGACAAAGGGATGATTCATGCCTGGGTGGGATGGAGTGGGAAGGTTCCGGATTTCATTGCACTCAGAATGGCTCGAAATCTAAAACTTGTGAATCTGTTTATTTCTGGAATGTTCCATGTAAATTTTTTTCAAGCTGAAACCATGGAAAACCAAATGGTAGACAAGGGGGGCTACTACTGTGGTAATGAAGCAAAAAGACCCACATCTCTGAATTCTTGGAGTTTATATTAGAATGCAGGGAGAAACAGTGAATACACGAAGCAGAGAAAGGGAAGCTGGGTTGTGTCACATTGAACAGGGTGACCGAGGGTGAGTCTTGCTGCAGAGACCTGAACAAGGTGAGAGGGAGGCACCTGAACAAGGTGAGGAAGACAGGAGGGGCAAGGGGAAATTAGCCTGTTAGCAAAGGGGACCAGAAGTGCAAAGGCCCTGAGAAAAGGGGGAAGACAATGTGGCTGAAACCAGGGAGCTCCTGGGAAAGGGGAGGGGCTGGGTCTGAGTGGTCCCAGGGCGGAGGCTCCCAGCACGCAGCCCTGTAGCTCCAGACAGGACTTTGGTTTTCACCCTGCTATGAGCTGGGAAGCCTTGGAGGGGCAGTGAGCAGTGAGATGATCTGACTCAGGTTACAATAGGACCCCTCTTCTTGTTCTGGTGATAAAAAAGTGGGCGTGGGGGAACTGTAGGAGGCAAAGGTGGAAGCAGTTAGGAGAGGGATGCACTAATCCAGGGTCCAGGGTGGTGGCAGGGAGCTGACGGAGCATGTTAACGGTTTGGAACTATTCTGCAGGCAGAACTGAGAGAAGTTGCTGATACAATGAGCAAACTAATGCTATAAAAAATATGTGCAGAATTGGTATGAAGAAGGCTTTTCCTGGATTTATAGAAAAGAGACTGGTTTTGCCATGCCTGTGACACTGATATAACAAATAGTGGCACAACCGCCTAGAAATTTGGCTTTGGACCTTGGAACTTTTGTGCCATGTATTATTGCAAAGAGCAAACAAAACCCAGTGGTCAAATACATTCGGTATCAAAAGCTGTACTTGCAATTAAATGAGCTGGGTTGGGGCTAGATCTTATTTCCACACACTGACACGAACGAGATCATTGTTCTGCAGACATAAACATTTCCAAGTAAAAAACGACACTTACCCATGAGGAGACTGTAAAGCCCATTGGGCAGTCACCCGAAAGGGTCACCATCATCATCAAGAACAAAGGCCTGGCCTGGTTTGTCCTGACTGAAGCTCTGAACTGCCAGCTGATCTGGTAACTGCTCAGACTTCTGACCCTTTGCCTACCAGGGTACAATGAAAGCTGCCTCCGAGCTTATTCAACCTTGCATTCTTCACTACCTGGGAAATAGCAGGTGCATAACAAATATTCCTTGACCTGATGGTTTCTTAACATCCTTCACTACCCCCTTTTGTGCCCACTTTCTGCGGTGCTCAGGAATATTTTATTTCATTTACCAATGTCTGAGATCGAATAATCACTCACAAATAAGAGATTTCATAGTGTGTTGCGCACCTGGCAGGCATGTGGAAGGCGCAATCCCAGGGTCCCGCCCTCCTGGTAAACCAAGGAAGCCTTCCTGGGGGAGGGGGAGTTCTCTTGGCTGCCATGTGACCGGTGAATGCGAATGTGGAAGTAGCAGAATGTGGGGGAGTGTGAATATGGAGTTAGCAGACGCGATTTAGGAGAGGGACTTCAAATGCAAGGTTCTGAAACTGGAGGGAACCTGAAAAGGACTGAACAGGACCAATGACCCGGGCGTACAGGATAGTGGGGGCGCTGCGACCTTTGAGAGGATAAACACACAGGGGCTGAAAGGTGAGTTTTGTAAATTACGTTAGACCCACAAACCCTCCGAGTTTTAAGGCGCGATTCGTCAGGGGCTGAGGGGGACCCGGAGACAAAGCATGCTCTTCGGTCTCATGATACTCCCGCAGCCTGGGGCAAGAGGCCGCGTGGGCTGCTTTCCTGGAGAACCACCACGAAGCCGCTCCTTTATCTTGCTGAAGTTCCCCATTGCCACTTCAGTTTATTTCCTCCAATTTCGAGGTCTCCCAACCACTGAGCTTGCTTCTTGACTCACAAAGTAAACTTTTGGAGAGCATACTCTGGCAGGATACCGAGGTTAGCTTTCCGTTTCTAGGGGCTTTTCGTGGCTACTCTTCAATGCGAATAAAATGTGGCTGCCTCTGGGCTGGGGCGGCCCTATCGTCTCTCCAGATGTTTTGTCTCCCTCTAGAACTTTCAGCAACACAACTGCCTAGGGTAGTGCCTCAATTCCAGTGTTTACTGCAGCCAGTTCCTACTTCCACCCCCCTCCACCCCGCACCGGGCGCGGAAACCCGGGAAGTTTACGTTCTTCTTTCCGAGTCCCCGGGGACCAGGTGGGGTTAGGAGGGAAAGGGGATACATAGGCAACTCGTCCACAGATGGCTCGTCTTCTGAAGCCCCTGTCCCAGGCTCTGCCCACTTTGGGAGAGAAAAAAAGTTGAGCTGGAGTAGGAAGGGGCAGGAGCGCGGGGCGAGGAGAGGGTGAAAGCGGGTTGTAGGGTAGCCCACCGAGCGCGCGGTCTGGGTGGAGCCAGCGGCGGGGCGCGGCGTCAGCTTTCAAGATGCAAATCGATTCCCCGCTCCCCCGTCCCCCTCCCGCCCAGGGAGCGAGGCTCCGCCGCTCTGCAGCCGCCCACGCCTCCTGCGCGCCGCGGCGCCTTAGCGGGCGGCTCTACTTAAGCCGCGCGCGGGCCGCGACCCGGCACTCGCCTGGAGCGCGCGGGCGAGGCGGGCGGAGCGTAACGGGACTCTCCGGGAGCAAAGCGGCGCGCTCGCACCGCTCGGCTCCTGGGCCTCCTGGACACGGCGGCGGCGGCCGGGTCGCAGCGCTGAGCGAGCGTCCGGGAAAGGCGACTGCAGCCCCGGTGTGCGGCCCCGCTCCCTGTCGCTACCCCAGCTCGGCCACCCCTTAACCATGGCTCTGGCTGACAGCACCCGTGGATTACCCAACGGGGGCGGTGGGGGCGGTAGCGGCTCCTCGTCCTCCTCCACGGAGCCGCCGCTCTTCCCCGATATCGTGGAGCTGAACGTGGGGGGCCAGGTGTATGTGACTCGGCGCTGCACGGTGGTGTCCGTGCCCGAGTCGCTGCTCTGGCGCATGTTCACGCAGCAGCAGCCGCAGGAGCTGGCCCGGGACAGCAAAGGCCGCTTCTTTCTGGACCGAGACGGCTTCCTCTTCCGTTACATCCTGGATTACCTGCGGGACTTGCAGCTTGTGCTACCCGACTACTTCCCCGAGCGCAGCCGGCTGCAGCGTGAGGCCGAGTACTTCGAGCTGCCCGAACTCGTGCGCCGCCTCGGGGAGCCCCAGCAGCCTGGCCCGGGGCCACCACCGCACCCCAGGCGCGGGGTGCAAAAGGAGGGCTCGCTGGGAGACGAGCTGCTGTCGCTCGGCTACGCGGAGCCGGAGCAGCAGGAAGGCGCCTCCGCCGGAGCGCCGTCGCCCACGCTGGAGCTGGCGAGCCGCAGCCCGTCCGGGGGCGCAGCGGGGCCGCTGCTCACGCCGTCCCAGTCGTTGGACGGGAGCCGACGCTCGGGCTACATCACCATCGGCTATCGCGGCTCCTACACTATTGGGCGGGATGCGCAGGCGGACGCCAAGTTCCGGCGAGTGGCGCGCATCACCGTGTGCGGCAAGACCTCGCTGGCCAAGGAAGTGTTCGGGGACACCCTGAACGAGAGCCGGGACCCCGACCGACCTCCGGAGCGCTACACCTCGCGCTATTACCTCAAGTTCAACTTCCTGGAGCAGGCTTTCGACAAGCTGTCCGAGTCGGGCTTCCACATGGTGGCGTGCAGTTCCACTGGCACCTGCGCCTTCGCCAGCGCCGACCAGAGTGAGGACAAGATCTGGACCAGCTACACCGAGTACGTCTTCTGCAGGGAGTGAGCTCCCCAGACCCCCTCGCGACTCCAGCGCACCCATTTCCCTTTCTTCCTGCCCAGGAGAGGATTATAGATCTCCCCTTCCACCCCTTGCCCTCTTATTCCCCTGGCCCCCACCTCCAATAGCTGCGCTGGTCCCCCTTGTCCCCACTTGAGAACTTGGAGCCGCAAAGCCTTTTGGCTTTTTCTTTTGTCTTCTTTGGACCCCACTAACCGAGAGGGCCCGGATGTACCCGGTCCACCCTATGCTTCCTCTGGCCCCTCCCTCTCCCGAATTATCCTTCAGTCTGGAGCTAGCGGGGCAGTGTGGCGCCAAGTCACCAAGTACCTGGGAATGACTGAATTGTTCAGAACCTGATTGGATCCTGTCCAGTGCGTGGAAGATTTCCTTGAAATCTTCTCCAGCACTTCGGACTCATTCGAGGTTAAAGAGATGGGAACTGATAATGCTGGGAAGAGTGGTTTTGGCCCTCTTGAGAAGTAGGGTTTTAGAAGGCTGGATGGAACACTCGACCTGGAATTGGGATCCCATGGAGGCAGTTCAGTGACTATAAATGAATAAAGTTTGGAAAAGTTACAGGTACATGTAGGAGAAGAATCTAGTGCGGGCACAATGAAGGATCATATCTTCTCCATGCAGAAATAAAGGTCTTCGCCTGTGGCTGAAACTTGGAGAAAGTTACCTCCCGCCTGAGGAGGCACCCTTTTCCCTCTGCTCACTGCCAGAAGCCCTTGGTTGGCCTGGTTGACTTGGCAGCTGTTGGCAGGCAAGAGGGAGAAAGAGCCCTGCCGCTGCCAGGGGCCGGACAGCCCAGCTCACCGGGGTTTCCGGGGAAGGCAGCCAGCAGTGACGACATGGAGCTGGGTAGTAGTGCACGTCGTGGGGCTTAGGACAGCCCAATTATTCTTGCAGTGAATAGCGGTAGGACCTTAGCTCTTAAGACTTGGGGGGTGGGTGGGAGGGAGGAAGGAAGGCAGCGTGGGTGGGAAGGGAGGAACAGACACGCTCATTTATTATTTGAAAGTTGGAAGTTTGTACCATCCCTTTGAGTACATGCACATGAAAAAAAGTAGTACACGAAAAACACGCAAAGCATTTTATAAAGATTAATAGCATCTACTCTTTAGTGGCAGTTTATTGAACTGTTTTGAGTCCTAAACTTAGAAGTTGCTAATACTTATATAACCTAACCAAAGAGTTACCCAGTAGGGTTTTAGTTTTTGAACTTTATTTTCTTGTTGATTATGAATCCTGAATTAAAACTCTATTTACTTGAGCAAAACATATATTTGATTTTGGTTACTTACGCTTAAGGTCTCTTATTAAAAAATCCTCATTTTTCTCCAAGCCCAGTCAATGTTGACTTCTGGGCAGATCTGAAAACCAGAAAATGCCACTTCTTTCATGCAGGTTATTTGAAGTTAGGGTGGAATCTCTTTGAGTGACAGAGCTGCAGAGAAATAGGAGCACCCAGGGCTGCCCATCGGTAGAGAGCCGTAAAGTGGAGTCTTTCAAACTGAGGACCAGTAGTTAAAAGCGAGTTGAGCAATACAGTGGTGTTCAGGGCGGCGCAGCTGAAGCAGAGGAGACCTGGTTGCCTTATGCCTTCCCCGTAACACGGAATAAATCCCCACTGTACATTGTTATCTGTCCCGTGAGTGACAGCAAGTGAGTCCTTATCTTTCCTGCTCTGAGGCTCCCTTGAATATTCTATGATGACGGGATATTTTTTCATTTGTTTCAGCATTTTTCTCTGGAGTATGTTTTTAAAGATTTTGTAAGGATGTGTTTTCGGTGTTTAAATTAGCGCTATTTTTCCTTCTTTTTAAAAATGAATCTTGTACTGTATCTACCTATGTCCATAACAGATGTTAAGAATTGGAACAGTTTTGTTCTTACACTCATGTGGTCCAATCTGTATATACCATATATAAACATTTTACACGAATCATTTAGTTTTTTAATTCACTCACTAATGCTGTGTAATTTCCTATATTTGCCCCCACTAACTTGCATCAGATGGTGTTTATACTAAAGCAACATGTTTTGATGAGTTTCTTACATCCTTATCTATGGGGACATTGGGTTAGGAAAAAATACATAAATTATAAAACTGATTGCTCCATCCTTTTTTTTTTGCTTGGATATTAGTTGTATACTAATAATATGTTGATTAACTGTCTATTAAATCAGGTACCTGTATGTTTAATCCACAACTTTTTTTTTTAGAGAAAGATTTGAGGTCTTTTATTGTAGCTGCATTTTTAGAAAAGTCAAGTTAGTTTTGCATACAAAGACTGTAATCGTACGGGAAGTGGAAGTAGAAATCCAGGAAGTCATGCTTGCTTTAGTGTTGAGTGTGCCCTCAGGCTAGGTAATGCATCAGAACTCATCTCTGTTTCAAGCCCGAAACGATGTAGGAATGTTGCTCACTGGCCAAAAGAGAGTGTCACAGAGACTTCTCTGCCCACATGGTACTCTGTTGGATTGCTCAATAAAAATCACATAATTGAGAACATCTTAGAGGGCCAGATCAAAGCCACCAACATATGGCAAGACTCTGAGGTTCTGATTTGCCTCGTAAAATCGGCACAACTCCAGGAGTAATTCGAAACTGCTCAAGTTTTGTCTCTGCCACGTCAGTCATAAATTTCATCTTTAAAACTTTGAGTTGAACTATTTCATACACAGTTTAGCCCTGCCCCCCATCCTTGCTGCCCTGCAATGCTTCTCTGACCCCTTTCATTATCTGGAAGACTGGGAGTTTAGTGGTTAGAGACAGGAAAGCAGCGTCTTTTTCTAGGGATGACTGTCCCCTATAAAGTTGGAAGTAGGTACTGGAACACAATTTACTTTTAGCCCAAAGTAAGGGCTGGGTGGGAGACTCATTGTACACTGGGTAGAGAGTGTAACTGAGCAAGGCGACTTGTCCTGGGCACTTGTGGGGCCCTCCCCTCCATGTGCTTCGGGCCAGAGCAGGACCTTAGGTGGTCTACAGGGTGGGCTGGAGTGTGTGTCGGTTGTCACCTATGAGCTTGGATGGGATATTGAGGATATCTGAACAAACCCTGTGAAGATACCATCCAAGCAACTTGGGAGAATGTCATGAGTTATTCAGATAATTATGACTGCATTAACCTGGCTCAGTGGAGCATGCATTTATATATGTAATGGCTCTAATTACCATCTGATTCATAAATACAATTGATTGACATTAGACTTTAATAACATTGAATTTTTTTAATTAAATAATTATTGGTGGTGGTTAAGAAACCAGGTACCATGTTTAATGCTTTTGTGCCAAGTGTTTGCCACATTGTCTGTTTTTAATACATGTGGAACATGGACCCTGTTCCTTCTAACTGTTCAAATTATACATTGTGGAAAATACTCCTTGAAGGTGTGAGACTTTAAAGGGTTTTCTCCTTCAGCACTGTTTTTATTCTTGTGCTTCTTATTTGACTTTCTGCATTGATGGCAAAGTGATAACTTATAAGCCAAGTCTGTCTTCTCTTTCAATCCAGGACCATATATACGGGGGCTGTTGCTTCTCTGAGGAAATGTGTAACCTTGACTTCCAGACAGAGTGGGCAACAGGGGGTGCTCCAAACATAGTCCAATTTTCATTGGAGTTTTCTAGGGAATGTTATTATTACATTGAAGCCATGTAAGGTGAAGCTTTGATAATTTCTTACTTTTTAAATTATAGTAAATTCTAATTTACTATTCAAACGTTTTTGTATTCCATATGAAAAATGCCAAATTATAGTGCAGGTATTTAGAATATATTGACTGGAGGGGCTGAATTCCGGAAGAATTTCTTTTACAGTCTAAATCATAAATGCTTTTCTCGATTGACTTAAATTTCTAAAATAGTAAACTGAATGTTTGTATTATAGCCCTACCAGAGTAAATCCTTTCGAAGTTTGTTTTTGGGGATTTTTTTCCTTTACTATAACCCAGTTAAAAACTGGATTAGTTTTCTTAGATGACCGAATCTGTCTCTTGAGAAATAAGTAAAATAGTCTTGTGTTTCCAGGGACAATAGCACCTGAAACAGGGTTTCGCAGAGCCGGGAACAGTTTATGTTGAAGTGACCTTTTCTTTGCCACAAGTTTGGGTAATAAAAATATAAAAATATTAACATTTGCAGATTTAGATTTTCTACTGGGACCCTTGAAATTTGGAAGAAATTCAACCAGACTGTCTACATTAGAGTATAATCTTTCATGGTAGGAAAATGGACTACTTTGACCAAGAATTCTTGTCACCTTATACATTTTGTGATTTTTTTTCCCAACCCAAGTTTTTTTAATTTTATATGTGTTTTGACATATGTAAACATTAATTGTAATGTAAATTATTATACAACTGTCTTTGTGACTTTATAGGCAGGCAGATTTTGTTATTACTATTGGATACAAATGATGATAATTCATTTATGACCACACACAAACAGTATTAGTGACATTTAATGACAAAAGGTTAAAACATTCATCGTGGATGTTAATTTTGAAGATGTCAATTATGTGTTATTTAAAAATTTCCAGGCATCTGAAAAACTCTTAGCTGCTAAATAATGTAGGATTCCCACAGAGCTATCTGGAATTGTGAGATAGTTGGAAATATTGTCTTTTCATATCATTGGGCCTTTTCTCAAAATAGAAAGGGAAAGGAAGAAAAGTTAATTACAAAATTATCAGGCTTTTCTAATGAGACAGAAAGCCAAGAAAAAAAAATCCCTCTATATTTAAAAAAAGGTACTGATGAAGTCTTTTTAGACATGCCCAAACTTTAAATGAGAATTTCTTCACCCATCTGAATGCTCTAGAGATTTTTGTCCACCCTGCTCATGAGCAGTTGTATAGCAGGAAGACTCGATACTGTTTTCCTCCCCGTGTGTGCAGTAATGAATCATTGATTATGTGACTTGTTATGTATTCTATTAAACACTAAAGAATAAAATATTCACTCCTTGAATTGTTCCTCTTGGCTCCTGGGTATCGACTGTCCTCAGCACTGGTCTGATTTCATTTACGGGGTTCTCCGAATGCTGGGAATGCTCCCTGAATTGTTGTGGGGCTACTGATGAGCATCATACCATCAGAAGAACTCACTGTCTAATTGGCCAGCTGGGTCAGCAGTGAGCAAGCTGTTCCCACACAGCTCACTGTCCAGAATGCCTGTTGTCACGGCGGTTTGGCACACAATGTGGAGGAAAAGGTTTTCACAAACGTTTTCTCTGACCTCAGTCTTTGCAGCACAGGTGAAGTATTTTGAACTTTGAACATGGCATGTAGGTAGAGATGACTTACCTCTTAAAGGTTGTAGGGAAAAGGAAATAGAAGTTGTGGGGTAGGCCGTTATTAAAATTACAGTTTATGAAGGTAAAGTGTTAAAGAAGGCTGTGGGAGGGTCTGCATTCTGGAAATAGGGGCTCTTTCCTGAATCGTCTCCAGTCACTGATGTCCCTCTTCTCCAAAGAAAGCACAGCGCCTCCAGACCGAGAAATCCCAGGAGCGGGAGCCTGCCAGCACCAGCCTGGGCCTGCTGGGTTGCAGCCCAGGAAGCCGTGA